CGTGTTCCCCACTGCTGGCTTGAGACTAGTTTGATAACTCACAGAGAGAACCTTGTTTGCTTCAGATTTAGATGGATGGTTGCATGGGTGAATGGATGAATGGATGGACAGGGCTGGGAGGAGAAAAGGCAGAAAGAAGGAGATGTTTGAGAATTTACTTTTTGTTGGATGACAGCATTGCCCACACAACAGCAGCAAAGAGAATTCAACAGCCCAGCATGCACTCAGGTTAGCACGTTTACCTGTTAGTGCTGGAACAGCTCCCATACGGCTCGCCACCCACGGTTTGGACACAATCACTGAAAATATATATTTGTATAAATGTGCATCTATCTATCTATCTATCTATCTATCTATCTATCTATCTATCTATCTATCTATCTATCTATCTATCTATCTATCTATCTATCTATCTATCTATCATTTATTTTTATCTATCTGTCTGTCTGTCTGTCATTCTATCATTCTATCTATCATTCTATGGTTCGTTCTATCTATCATTCTATGGTTCTATCATTCTATCTATCTATCTATCTATTGTTCTATCATTCTATCGTTCTATCTATCGTTCTGTCATCAATCATTCTGTTTATCTGTCTATCTATCGCTCTGTCGTTCTATCTATCGTTTCATCTATCATTCTATCGTTCTTTCTATCTAGCTATCATTCTATCGTTATTTCTATCTAGCTATCATTCTATGGTTCTATCTATCTATCTATCTATCTATCTATCTATCTATCTATCTATCTATCGTTTATTTTTATCTATCTGTCTGTCTGTCATTCTATCATTCTATCTATCGTTCTATCGTTCGTTCTATCTATCATTCTATGGTTCTATCATTCTATCTATCTATCTATCTATTGTTCTATCATTCTATCGTTCTATCTATCATTCTGTCATCGATCATTCTGTTTATCTGTCTATCTATCGTTCTGTCGTTCTATCTATCTGTAGATCGTCTTGTCTTTCTATCTATCATTCTATCTAGTATATACTGCAGTGTATACTGTAAATACTGTAGATAGTGTTGTTGGTCGGACTAGATCTCATCCAGACTAGATTGAGGTTGCTCCGGTTCTCCGTGATATTTATTTCCTCAGTATCTGACCCAGAGCGAATCCTGTTGCTGAGCGACCGCTGCCGAATACTGATCTGAAGTTGTGGATTGTCTTCATCCCATGATGCACTGGGTCAGTGTGACAGTGATAGATGTTGACCCGGCTGCAGAGTTAAAGAGAGCTCATCCCTGACGCTGGGCGTTCTCTCCTGCTGAGGAGGAGTGTGGTCAACAATCTGGGGCTTAGACACACACTTCCACACGCACACCTGCTGAGAGGGCAAGTGCTTTGTGAGGTCCAGTCATCCACACATTATGTGGTGCACCCGCAGCTGTTAACACAAGGACCTCACGCACACAAACACACCTCGCACTTAACCGATCAATAATAATCACATCATGGAGAAATTAATTTGCTCTGTCTTTGAGGAGACCGCTCTATTGACCACGCTGTTATTTTCTCTTGCTCACATCCATACAGACACACAGTCTCTCTTTATTTTGAAACAGGGTGATGGTGGGTTATTTTTGGTTTAAGATGATATTTTTATTTTGACTGATGAATTTACATTACATTTTCAAGCATAATTATTGCTAATTTCTAAGGCAGCATCACAATACCCAAAATTTGTATCTGTATGATATTATAGTTGAAAACAGTATTTTAGTATTATTTTTATACAATTATAGTTTTTAATTATCATTTTGAATTAGCTTTTGATTTGTATTATTTTAGTTTTAATTTTATGTGCTTTAATAATTTAACTTAAACATATTTCAGTTAGATGCCAATGCAAAAATTTGATATTTTATATGTAATTTTTTTTTTATTCTAATGTTTATATTTGATTTTAGCTTTATTTCAGCTTTTTAAGTTTTAGTTGATAACAACAACAAAGGTTCATCATTCGATTATTAATCATTCAGTCCAATTTTAAACTGGTTTGTAAGCAAGTTTTACTCTACACAGACGTAATATTTAGGAAGTCCTCACAATCTATTTTATTCTAGATGATTTATTTATTAAGATTTTTTCCCAACATATTATAAGGCAGCATCACACATTTTATGTCTATGTATTATTAATTTAAAGCAATGTAATTTTATTAATTATTTATATATTATTGTAGTATATACTTAATATATTGAACTAGCTTTTATTTTAAATTTAAAGTTGTAATTTCATGCTTTTGTAATTTTGATCTTTTTTATATTTTTATTAGTACTTAAACTTATTTCAGTTGGATGCCTAGGCGAAATTTCAAATTTTCATGTTTTAAACCAATATTTATGTAGAATTTTATTTCAGCTATATTTCAGATTTTTTCAAATCAATTTTAGCCAATAATAACAACACTGGTTCATCATTTAGAGCAATTTTTGAACTGGTTTGAATGATACTTAAAAGAATGATTTGCTCACAAATTGTTCATCACTGTGGGTTGTGAAAAAGTTTTACTCTACTCGCCAATGAAATGTATTGTAGCAGAACATAAAGATGACTCATTAACTAAATTTCCATGCCTTTTCTAGGCCTACAAAACTGTTTTTTAAAATTCCTTGATATCCTTATATTGTCTAGGAGAGTGGAAACCCACTTTTGAGAAATGTCATGCACAGAATTGCTGAGTTAAGAGGTTTTCTTTTAAATGTTTGAGATATATTCTCTTCCACTGGTTGTAGCGGCGTTAGCATGAGCGCAGGCCTCATTGTACCGCTAATGAGCATCATTAATTTCCGTGTGTTGACTGACCTCTGATGCTCGCTCAGCCCTGACCACACCATTACACTCGCAAATAAAAGGTTTGGCGGTTTCCACACATTTCTAAACATGTCATGCATTGCCTCGCAGCTCTTCCTGTCCCAGACTCCCTTTCAAATGCTAATAAGCGATGCGGACTCATCGTTTACAGTGTGTAGGCTGTCGCGGTACATGCCTTCCTCTTCATAATCAAAGCGCTCACCGGGCAGTGACCGCCGGGCTCGGCTGCCCGCAATGCTGGCTTGTATTCCCGAGGGTCCTGAGTTTGAATTCTGCCCAGAGCTTGAAGTGAAGCCCACCGCATCCAGCTAGCAAACACTGTTAGCAAAGATGCCGGAGGTCCTTGAGTGCTCATCTGACTCATGGAACATGAGTATGGAGGATGTCATCTGAAATTTCCGTTTCTCGTATTGTTCTGTTCATTTCGGGATGCTTAGGTCATGCTTGCTTTTCTGTAAACTTATATACAGTATAAGATGTTCATATCTGATAGGCTAGAAAGTTTATTTTTATACCAGAAGTCCATGTATAACATGTATTGATGTCAGAACCATTACAGTTTAGAATATATGTAATATGTGAGCCTGGAGCACAAAAACAGTCTTAAGTCGCTGGGTATTTGTAGCAATAGCCAAAAATATATTGTATGGTTCAAAATTATTGTTTTCTTTTATGCCAAAAATCATTAGGATATTAAGTAAAGATCATGTTCCATGAAGATATTTTGTAAATTTCCTACTGTAAATATATTAAAACTTAATTTTTGATTAGTAATATGCATTGCTAAGAACTTAATTTGGACAACTTTAAAGGTGATTTTCTCAATATTTTGATATCCATGATATCCAGACATTTTTAATTGTGTATTAAGTATCCAAATATTTTTTGAGGCCACTGTGTGCATGAGAGTACAAATTTTTCATCCACTCGCTGAAAAAAAAAAAAGATTAAATTGTGACCTTACTAGTTTTAGTTAGTTGGGCTCCTACACAGCATATAAAACACCACTGCTAAAGAAAATGTAATGTAATAATCTCATTTTCTGTCTGTCCTTCAGCTCCTGCGAACGCTCAGATTGTGCATTCTGGGCAGACGTGTGTGGTGAAGGAGGACAACATCAGTGAAAGGATCTACACCATCAGAGAGGGGGACACGTTAGTTCTGCAGTGTCTGGTCAAAGGACACCCGCGGCCTCAGGTGAACACAAACACACATTCACGTCATACACGGCACTCACTGCTGGGCAGAAAAACAAGCACATCAGGTACGAATTTAACTTTTTGCCACACCTTCCAATAGTGAGTGGATTTACTGAACAGAAATATTGTAATAAGCCATGTAACTTATTGGATGGGTATTATTTTTATTTTAAGCAAATACTTTCGTCCTCATGCAGGTCCATATGTCACTTGTAGCATGTATGAGTACTGTATGAGATGTACATCTCTCTAAAAATGCACTTGTCAAAAACAAGAAGAAAAAAATATAGAGCACACAAAGACACAGCGTGATTTTGTTCTTCATATTTTTGTTTTGATAGCTTAATGTGCAGAACATTCGTCATATTTTTGACACATGGACACGTGGAGAGAAAACACTTTTGGCATTCTAGATTCAACTCTAATGGTAAATCTTTCACTGAGGTAAAAGTTAGAAACAAACAACATATGTTTGCTTCAGTAGACAATAAATCTAAATTATTTATTATTTCTCTTTTATTTATTATATTATTTATTAGTTTTAATCTATTAAAAATATTACAATTAAATAAATGTATATATATATAATGTATTATTTATGTATAATAAATAATATTAATTTGAATTGCATTATTTTTTATTGCATTTTACACACACACACACACACACACACACACACACACACACACACACACACACACACACACACACACACACGCGCGTTGTGTTTCCATGTTTTATGGGGACATTCCATAGGTGTAATGATTTTTATACTGTACAAACTGTATTTTCTATCACCCTACACCTAAACCTACCCCTCACAGAAAACTTTCTGCACTTTTAGATTTTCAAAAAACTTTTTGTATAAGTTTGTTTCCTCATGGGGACCTAAAAAATGTCCCCACAAGGTACACACACACACACACACACACACAGATACATAATTGTATGAAATATATAATTAGAATACATATTTATTTTATTTACAATTTAGTGTATTCTTTTTTTAATCAAATTACAATTATAATAAATACACAATTACATTATATTTAAATTATATAATCTATAAATGATATACATTTTAAATACAAATAATGCAATTCAAATAAATGATGTATTCTCTTTATTTTTATTTCAAATTTAAATCATAAAAAATCTATTAAAATAAATGATATAAATGTTTTGCATACACAGCAACACACAAGATATTAACTTGTTGACAGGTTTTTGAGAGGTCAGCATTGACACACAGCCAGTGGAACCACTGTACCTCTCTATTAGGGGTGTCAAACTCAGTTCCTGGAGGGCCACAGCCCTGCACAGATTAGATGCAACCCTAATTAAACACACCTGATCCAGCTAATCAGGTCATTAAGGTTTATTTGAAAACGACATGGTACATGTGTTGGAGCAGGGTTGGAACTAATTTATGCAGGGCTGTGGCCCTCCAGGAATTGAGTTTGACACTCCTGCTCTATATGAACCGTACAGTTTTTGTGCGTATGTGTATCACGTATCTGATAACAGATGACTGCAGACACTGAAGGAGAGAGGGTCTGTCAATGGACTTTAGGTTTTTTTGAGGCTTGTGTTGGCGTGTGAGTGTGTGTTATATAAGGTAAGGGTGAGCTGATAACAGTAGGAGGTGTGAAGAGCGTGGCTCCCACAGGCGCTCTGTCCACTGCCATTAGGTCACTTATTAAAGACCCTCATACACACACACGCATCCTCCCAACGACCTGTCTACATATATTAGTGCTCCAGGTTGCATCAGCAGAACACCGATCTGATCTAAATTCTATCAGTTTTCCCTCTCTCGGTCCTGAGAACGAGTGCACGGAATAAAGAAGTTGCTTTTCCATAACATGATCCACGATTTCCATTAGAAATGTCGGGACATTACGATGACAACAAGCTGAATATAGGAGTGTAATATAGAGTGTGAATATAGTCACAGTGTCTGAATATAAACTGAGGATATTACTGCATATACTGTAGGACGTTATTGCCTGCAGTGCTGGGCCTTCACGGGTCACTAGATAGTGTTCTTATCTGTGTGTGTGTCTAGATATTTGTGCCTGGATTTTGTCTTCAGGGCACATGCATTGAAATGTGTATTGGTGTATTTTGCTCTTCACTGAAGTGTATTTTATATTAGGGTCGATGTGTGTTTGTGATCTGATATATACATTGTGTAAAAGAATTGTTTGTAGAAAGACAGACAATCGATTGTCAGTTTGGCACATTTGTGTAATGCTCAGTGGTGTATGGTATCATTTCAGTATTGGCAAAATTTACACCTATGACCACTATGAACTTATTTTAAAGGGGTCATATGATGTTGCTAAAAAGAACATTATTTTGTGTATTTGGTGTAATGAAATGTGTTTATGCTGTAAAGTTTAAAGTAAAAAAAACACATTTTCCACATACTGTACATTATTGTTTCTCCTCTATGCCCCGCCTTTCTGAAACGTGTCGATTTTTACAAAGCTCATCGGTCTGAAAAGCGAGGTGTGCTCTGATTGGCCAGCTATCCAGTGCCTTGTGATTGGCCGAATACCTCAAGCATGTGACAGAAATGTTACGCCCCTTACCATTCTGTGATGCCCTGTCCGGCCGGAGCGATGAATCAAAAACATTAAAACCCATTACAAATGAGGCATTTGTTGCATCCAGTGGGGACATAATTACTGATTATAATGACTTATACTGTCTTTTTACGCGTTGCGTTGCATCGCGCCACATAAACATAAAACCATGTCTGCATTTGTGATCGGAGAAATGACAAACAAGTGCTACTCTACACTGCCCAAAACTCGCGTTTGAATCATCAGTGGCAAATCCTTTAAATGAAAACGTACTTACAGTCTGTGAGTTAGAACAGCCGGCATTGTAGTCTACTCTCCCAGGATCAGGAAACAGTCCTCCATAAAATGTGCTGCACACAAATTAATATTTGTGTTGAACTGTTCTGAAACAGTGTTGTAAATACAATTTAACCACAGATTTCTAGTCGTGTCCTGTTTTAGAAGACCAAATAAAGTAGTTTCCCTTTCACAACGAAACACACACGGTGGGCTAGAGTGAGCGGAGGCCAGCGAACTTGAGAACGGCACGGCCGGCGGATTCGACGAAGTAGTGGCTGGTGGGCTTGCGACAAACACATGTGACGACCCTGGGCTGGACTCCGCTTCATCCACGGTGAAAGCCGATCTGGCGAGCCACAGGGTGAAGTTGATATATTCCCTCAGCGACCAGCACGGATCACCTCTAGGCATGACGAAGCGGATATCGTCCTCTTTTGGAAGACCAAACAAAGTAGTTTCGCTTTCACAACGAAACACACAGTGTCTCCACGACATGGCGGTGGCGGCAACAACAATACTACATTGAGAATAAAAGTTACTCCTTCTTTCTTCGCGTGAACATTTGGGCGCCGTTATGCAAATCTTCCCACATCGTGATGTAGACATGTGGGGGCATGTTAGAACGAGCCGTGAAATTTAAAATGCAGCACTGGTGAGCATAAGATACTTCTTTCAAAAACATAAAACCTTACTGACTGCAGACTTTTGAACAGTAGTACATGTTTTTACTTTGCACCAGTACTGGAATGTTCCAGAGCTCTGGATTTAGTGTATTTAGTAACTTAAAATGTGTCATAAGCCCCTTTCACACATACAGACTTTACTGTTAAATTACCGGTAAATTGCCATAAAGCGAACATGTGTGAACAGGTCCTTCTTAAAATTACCAGTAAATTTGTTCCATCAATTTAGTTGGAGGAGAAAATGAGATGTGAGTTTTTCGACATACCCTAACTGTCATGAACCGGAAAACACAGAGTTCACGCAGAGCTAGACAAGAAGAGCGTTTGAGGTTAAAAAGCAGTGGTGGACGAAGTACACAAATCAAGTACTTGAGTAAAAGTACAGATCCATATAATAAAATATTACTCCAGTAAAAGTACTCCGTTTTCAATTTTACTCGAGTGAAAGTACAAAAGTACTCGATTTTTTATGTACTTAAGTAAAAAGTACCGATAGATGAATGTTTATATTAGCATATATATTTTTTATAATCCTACTGCTCAAAATACCTGGGATTTTCCTAAAATAACCAATAAGGAAATAATGAATATAATAAGGAAAATATAATTAGATTTTCATAATGATTTTTTTCTTCTCAAACCTTGTCTGTGGTGTAAAAACCCCCCTGGCCAAATGCCCCCAGAGGACATCACTTCCCACTTTGATAATTACTGTAGTTACCATATTCTGAACATCACATCCTTTCTTTTTCCCTCAGCTGTAATCTATCTAGGTGGTTGAATAAAAATACTTGGACTTTATTTTTTTAATTAGCTCGTTAGCTAGACAGTTAGCATCAGCTAACATTATTGACTTATTTTCAGCATGGTTATGAAGAAACATTTATATTTGTCTACTCGGCTAGTTGATCCAGATACATAGTAACTTAGGCTATGTGTGCTGACAAACAATATAAAAACAGACGTCACATAGGGCTAAATGCATAGAATTTTATAAATTTGCTAATGTTACAGCTGCGGGGAAGATGAACTTGCATGAGTTATTTTATTTAATCTGTGTTATTTTAATGTCTTTTGACCTAAAACATAGAGACTCTGATGTTAATGTGTCTACATTCAAGCATTTCAGTGGGCTTAAACAGATCACCCTTTACGGCAGATTTAGTTCACAAACAACTGACAGCTTTGACCTAAATATGATTTTCAGTTACAATAATTAATCCTAAAATTCGACATTAGTAACTTACATTTAGCAGCATCAGATGCGCGTGCGCTAACAAGATCTCCCTGTCCTTACTTGTGAATTCAGTTCACTGAGACTCGCACTAAACGGTTCATTTGAATCAGTGAGTTGTCGACTCGAGAACAGCTGCAATCGGATCATTCCAATTCGTGAATCAATCGTTTGGTGCGATTTGTGAACCGATTTAACTGGTTTATTGAAA